TGGATGGATGGATGGATGGATGGATGGATGGATGGATGGATAAATGGACTGGATGAATGAATATGATAGTTGATGGATGGATGGATGACTGAATATGATAGTTGATGGATGGATGGATGACTGAATATGATAGTTGATGGATGGATGGAATGGGATGGAATGGGATTTTGATGACTGGACAGACTGACAAGGTTAATGACAGGGTGAGTGGATAAGAAATTGACCTAAAGAAAATTTTCTCAAACAAACCTTCTCAAAAGGACAAGCGTGTTTTTGTAGATCAGCCAGCATGCCTTTCCATGTGCAGCCATCCTTCTTCCTTCCGCAATAGCACTCTAAGGCTTGGATTTCTCTAGCTGCACAGCGATCTTTAAAAAGTTGATCAGACCGCAGTTCTTCTTCATGATCAGGGCAACGTGGCCTTGGCTTTTTGAGGATGTCATTTGCACATTTTGTGCAAAACCTTGAAATCAATGATCACATGACTGACCGTTAGCATACTCCGGCTAGCCGTATGACCTCGAAAAATATTGTAAGTTGGTAAATAAAACCTCTATCTTAGGCTCATACATTAGATTTCTTTCTTATTTCTGATAATTTTTTCTATTTGGTAGCTTGATAAATGAGAAGTTACCAGACCGTACTAAAACAGTCCGTCAGAGCCCTCATTCAACCATCCACATGTAGAGAGATAATACCGTTTTATGTAAATGAAACTAGATCCTGTTAAAGATCAAACAGTATACGTAATGCAGGAAGTAATAAACCAAGCAACATCAGTCATGACTTTTTGTCGATTTTACACCAAATATACCACATAATAGCATCATTTTTTTAGTGAAGCGAATAACCCAAATAATTACACATCGAGTTACCGGCGCGATAAACTATTATACATAATATTTCTCTTACCGCTCTTTTATCATTGCTGAGCATTAAGCTTGCAATCATGGACTATTACTCAGTCTTTGAAGTTTGAAATCATGGTCCTATGTATTGAAAAGTGCATGTTTTTTTGCTGAAGATAAACTTATTGAATACGACGTCGTGACAAAGCTCGATATTACGTCAACATTGAATATTGCTGACCGAATTCATTCATGTTGGTAATCAACTCGTAAACTCAACCAAAAACTCCATCTGGTTGCCTCATATTCGGGTATTATAAAATGTGATAAATATATTTTTGTAGAACGTAGTGGATGTCGACGTGTTTCTATCGACGTATGTAGTTTCTACTGATCTAGGAAGGGTGTTTGGTACATGTTTATAACTGCTTACTATCTATAGCCAATGATGTAGTCACTTACCTATGTGCACACGAGGATTGAACCGGATCTTTAAGAACCTCTTTACAAGCCACGCACTTTAATCTATCTTCGACAGGAATTACGAAAATTGGTCTGTTGTTTGAAGGTTCGAAAGTCATTTCTTTCGTAATATATTTCCAACTTAAACAACTTGGAACAAGACGAAGACGGCTTTTAGGCGACGGGAAATACCCTAAAAATCATGACTAAAATGAGCCAATCAGTGAGCTAGATTTAGGGGGTTTCCTTTTAGCATTTAAGTTACGGTTGCGTGACATGACGTAAGACTTAATCAGTGATCATTACAAATTCTTCGCTTCGTGACTACTCTTATTTTCCTGTCAAAATCAAAACAGGAAATGGATGTTTTCTTGAAAAAAACCCTCACGCCTTGCCCTCAAACAGCAGTCATGATAACTTTGACGCAGTATGGGTTGGACTTCTGAAATTATTCATCACGTATCAAAATCAAACAAAAAGATCGGGTTTAGAAACAGATCATGATCAAAATGCGAATGCTCGACCGACGCAGTTAAATCTTATCTCTGCGCTTGAAATGAATTCTGGGGATTCCCCAATTCCTAGTTGACTCAAAATCTGTGACGTAAAACGGAATCGATGATAAATTGAGCGCACAACAGCCGGTAGATCAATTCACTCATACTTCAACACGCTCTGATAGTTGGGATCAGTACGCAAACGAAACTCATAAAGCTTTCATCACTGAAAGGACTAATAGGTGTTCATAAAGAAACCAAGGACTACCAGTTGTTGAGGTAATGCTTATTTATCTAAGTTTAGTTGAATATTACTATCGCATTTTTATATTATTTGGATCATCTGTTAAAGAAAGTTGTGAGAATCGACATGTGACTAAAAACTGAACGCGTGCATTAGTGTAGCGAAGCGTAATGCATTTGAGTAAAAAAAACCTAAAAAAAATCTTTCCTACAGAACAGATTTATGGCACATGGTCGAACTATGTCGTCTAAAGTAAGCAGACTTTTTCAGAAATGGCCGTGCTTCGGAGGCAAGACAGTTCGAGAGGTGAGTTATGGTCACGGGAATAATCCCTTAGTCCTCGTCATGCTTCTTCAATGACATGCTTTTTGCTTATCATTGACATTCTTGTTAAGCTTTAGCAATCCTACGCCTAAGCTATAGTTAATGTAGCTATATAAGCTACACAGTATTTCCAAAACATAAGCATTTCCGTACGTTTTTTATTCAAGAAGCCTCGAGACCGCAATTGCAAAATACTATTGCGGTGATAGTTAGTGTTGATATTCGCTTTTGCTTGAATAAAACTCGCGCTATCATTTTATCTTTGGTTTTGTCTTTACGAGCAATATCTTTATACATTTGCTCGGCTTGAGATCGGCTTTGTCAAAAGGTCAAAATTCCCTGCGTCTAATATTTCTATCAACAATGAGACTGAGAGAGGCGATCACTTGCGCACAGTAGGCAAAAAACAAAAAAACCAAACCAAAAGAAAACTTAAAACCAAAATTTATAAGTTCGGTGGTAAAAAGCCGAACCGAACGGCGAAACATTATAACCATTTGTCCAGAGGTTGCGCTTAAGTTTTGAAAGAAGTGTTCATATATGAGTGGTCCGGAAGCACATTAATAATAAAACTTTCTTCCTCGTCAAATGCTTCAGTCTAAAATGTATTAAGATCCATTAACTGAGACCTCATCTATACGAAAATAGATTTTGCGTTGTGATGCGCTGAGACTGCAAAAAGGAAAAAACACCAGGTTTTGAATTAATTTTCTCGATAAGTAGAGTTATTCTGTACGTGGTGTGATATCAATTTTCTTATATCTGTAGGCGCTGTTGTGCATTGGTTGATGCAGCGTTTCTTTCTCTATCGGAAACTTCATCGTTTATCAAAACACTCGGCCAGATTGCTCAATATGTTATTTTTTTGCTCCCATCAAGAAAGATTATTAAAATAAATTAGAAAACAAACATTTTGAACAGCACCATCTGGTTTCGACAAGAAAGTACTAGTATTTGTGAAATATTAAGCTAGAAAATAAACATATATTGACAACAAATATTTTTAGAATTTTTCGTGTTATTCAGTAAATAAATATTTACTAACAAAAATTTTGTTTAGAATTTTTCATAATGGAGGGGAGGGAAATTCAGATAATGAGGCGTTTTTTCTTATTTCATTCCACATTTACCATTTGTACGACCTTTTTTCAATCCGGCAGTTTCTTGATAAGACTTGATAGGTATTATATCCTAAAAGAAACCTTTTACTCAGTTAAACTCTTAGCTTGACACCTGGTCGATAACCTCACTTTTAACAACAAAAAAAATCGTTGTAGGGAATTTACGAGCCTCGCTTGACAAAGATGAAAGCAGGCTCGTAGCATCAAATCGAAAAATTCAATTCGTATTTCTTAATAAAATTCAAGCCGTTTTTCGTAAATGATTAAATAACTTTTTTGATAAAATTCCGCTTCAGCTGCGATTATCTTTCTTTCCTGCAACTATTTGGCAAGTCGACAGGAACTAAAAAGTGGCGGCTTCAGTAAGATGTGACTTTAACAACTGATTTTTAATTTCCTTTATAGATTCATAGGAAGTAAATGAGTTTTTATTGAAACGAAATTTTTAAAATTTGACTGGTATTTAAGTAAGACTTCCTTCCAAGTCTAAAATCCGAGTTCCGCTTTGAAACAGGAAGAGGTGCGGTGAACAAATGAGTGACAAAAGAGAGAGAGAAAAGAGAAGAGCAATGCGTATTACGATGCAGCTTCCGCACCATATTTTCGTGGGATGGATTTACTATAAAAACATGATGAGTGCGTGCAACGAAGCATCGAATGTAAAGATCACATTTAAAGATTATCAAGGAAAAGAGAGAGAAATTTTGGATTAAAAAAAATGAGTCAAAATCATTATTACTATTTTTATTATTATGAATTATATTATCATCATTTTTGATCATTTTTATTATTATCATAATTATACCTGGATTAAAAACATGAGTTAAAATCATTATTACTATTTTTATTATTATGAATCATATTATCATCATTAAAAGTATCATCATTTTTTTGTTATTATCATTATTATCATCATAATTTTTAATAATTAATTATTTATTTATTTAACTCAGAACATTTTTGCTCAGGATTTGGACAGTTTTTGCCAGGAATCTTTTTGATACATTATTAATATAGTTTTAAAGCTTGTTTACTGGAATTTCGAGATAACATGAAATCACTTCGGGAGTAGCGTCGTTTTAGAACATTCATGATTCTGTAATCTGAACGAATCGCAAACAGCTGCTCAGCTGCGTTCCACGGCGGTTTTGACTTGATCGCTGTCAACATCTTAAAACCAAAATTTAAAATTCATTTTACTTTTCGCACATGTTATTTCTTTTCATTTTCTGACGGAATTGATACCTCGTGTTTTTGGACCACGACTAGGCGTGCAAAACATCCGACATATTCTTTTAAGTATTATTTATATTCTCTGCGCTGCATTAAAAATTGTCTTTAAATTTGATTTGTATGGCTCCAAATTGATTAAAAATATTATCTAATAGAAAAAATAAATTCTGAAGATATTGAAATCTAATTTTTGTGGGCGGTTCAGAATTATTTAATGAAAAAGCGATCAAAAATTAAGACTTATTGATTTTTTCGAAATCAAAGCATTCAGTTTTTGTGAAGCTCATTGCGCAGCTTACCCAAATTAAAAAGAAAAAAACAAAAAGAAAAAATGAGATATATATAATTTATAAATATTTCTTTACAAAGGTATAAATAGGAAAAAAAAAGAGAAAAAAAAGAGAGGGAAATTCCAGTTTTAACTGAAAATGACAAAAGTCCTCTTAATCCCCTCCCCCTAGGGTAAACAAGGATCAGTTTCAATGTTTCTTTTCATGCGTATTTGAGACCACTGTTTCACGAGTCATTACTAGATAATCTTAAATATTTCCCATGATATTTGCTGCGACTGGGCAAGTGCAAGTTAAAGAAATTCATCATCTACAAGGGAAGATAATTAATAACTCGAATGGTCAGTAATCGATTATGTTATTAAGATTATAATATCGGAGTGATTTATCTGGAAAATTCTGGTTGGTTGGTACTACTTCGTTGCGAAGGAAGAAAGCGTTTTGTTGTAATCTTGGTACGAACTTAAAGTGCAAATGAACCCTTCGACAATACTTTCAGTACTGGTTCTGCATAAAGTAAATAGTTGAATGGTAAAATATTTCTTGGAAGTATAAACCTTCATAAGTTAGAGACGCATCACTCAAATCAAGAAATATTTTACCAATCAACTATTTACTTTATGCAGAACCAGTACTGAATGTATTGTCAAAGGGTTCATTTGCACTTTAAAGACTCAGTAAGATCGGTCTCTGCTGATCTTCAAAGGAATGAAGAACAGAACTCATGCAGAACTCAACGCAGATTATTATTTGTTGGTTCGAGGGTTAAAGTAAATCCAGACGCGCTTCCCTTATATTTCATCTCTGGTGTCTGGTGGTCGCACCAGGAAAGAACGAAAATCTTTTCTGTGCATCTCGGGTTGCAAAAGGTCATAAAAGTCTGGAACAATTATTATAGAAGAAAATGATTCGGCTGTATAGTGTGGGACAAACAAGGGGGGAGGGGGGAGGATACGTATTCACCATTCTAAAAGTCTAAAAGCTTCCTGTGTTATCTATTGATATGATCTGGATTTGTTGATATTATCTGCACTGTAAAATCACTTTTATAGGACGAATATGGCACTTTCTACCACCGATTTCAGTCGGCCAGTCGCCAATGCGTAAGATATCTCAGCTTTAGCATTATGCCTGACATTTTCTGATAGTTATAAGAGCGATTTATCAGTCTTAAGCTAAATAAGTGGAAATAAACCGATTAAATGTATGTGATTATCGTGATTACTAAGAGAAACGGAGCGCAAACCACTGCTTAGAAAGAAAATATCGAATGAGGTTTACAATATGATAGTAAAGGTGTATTTCTAGTTTTAAAGGAGTCGGGCGTTTTTATAGTCCCGCGCAATATCTTGCGATCTGATATTGCGGCAAAACCTCACTAATACTTTGATATCAGCAGCACTCAGTTCTTTTTATATTCTCACTTCAGTTCTTCTTATATTTGAATCTCAAATGAGCGCGTTTTCTAACTGAGCTCGGCAGTGAAGCACCTGTCATACACGTCGTTTTTTTTTTCATTATGAAAAGTGATTTTTACCGAGACGTCTGAAGGTGCTTTTCAATAGAAATAAAGCTTTTATCGCGAAAGCTTCGAGAATTAATAAAAGCATTCAAAAGTAACGAGTTCTCTTTCAATTATTTAAAACGTTTCTTGACCACAGCAAGACAGCCTATGACGCGCGTCTTTCTATCATACAGACCGTGTCGATCACGTGACTTGAAATATACAATCTTAGTCACATGATTTTATATCACAAGTATGTTAATCAAAAACATAATTCACTTCCGCCTCCAACTAATGGCAATGCGGTGAATAACCGAGATGCTTTATACATATTGGTGTCGATGCGCACTTGGTATGGAGTGCGTACGCAGTCTAAAAAAATTCCTCATTCAACTTCGAATATTTTGCAATTAAATTTTCTTGGCCGTGACTGAATAAACCTATTCCTGCAGTAGCTTTTTTTCTCTCTAACATTGTGCTAGTGCCGATATCAAGCTTTACTCTATATGTTAGTGTCGAAGTTGGAGTAGAGAAAGCTCACTCCATATGTGGTATGATCAATTCCATATTTGGATTGTGCGGAAAAGCGGCAAACGAAAAGGCCGTCGTTTTATAGCGAATTCGACATGAACATTTTTGAAGAAGAAAAGAAAAGGAAAAAAAGTAAAAAAAAAAAAACTTTTGAAAATCGAGGAAGGATACGGGGACGCTGCTAACTTGTGGGTCTGCTTTGCAGACAACATACACAGGGAAATACAACACTCAATGTTTGATATCTTTAAATTTTGCAACAAACAAGCTAGCTAAACTAAAAAGGCTTTCAACCAAACTCAACCAAAAAGCACACCAATAACTCCGCAAACACGATTTTTGGAGTCTAACTGAAAATCATATAAAAGCCGTAACGATTTTGTATACTTCTCAATCAAACAAAACCTACTCCTCAATCACTAACCTTAGTCTTGTCGGTGTTGCTCACAGGAAGTCGAAGGAAATAGTCTCAAACGAAACCAGCCCAAAATTATCATCACAGAATGTAAGAGCRTCGAATCTACGCCAAACATCTCACGCAAGAGCAGCAGCAGTAGTAGTAACTCCTCCTCGGCACCATACGATGAGATAGAAACTGAAGTCAAGATTAAAACAGATGGTAAAGAACACGAGATGGGGATGAAAGTTCTCTTGAAGACAAGAGACTGTAATGGAGATCAGGTGGACGGAGTCGAAAAGGAGACTACGTCCATGATATCTGTCAAGGATATCAAGATAGGTTCATTTGCGCACGGTTTTGGCATCAGGTAAATAAATGTAGTGTGCATACTTGTTAATACAGCAGAAGCTGAGTTGACCTTCAGAACGAACTCAAGGTCAACCAGTCACAATAAAGGAATCGACATTGTATTCTGATTAACATTTTCCATGATTCTGCCAAGAAAACGCTAGTTGAAGTCATGGCGGAATTCATTTTAATCGACACTGAGAGAAATCTACATTGTATTAAGTCCCTGTTTGGGGAATGCTAACAAAAATAGTTTGCTCATAATTCCTTTCGGTGCGGAATGCGGTCAACACAGCTAGTTTCAGTGGTCATCCTCTATCAAGCGGCTACTTGACAATTCCCCCCGAAGCTTGCCGCTTCATAGAGGTTCTATTGTAGTTCACTCCTCCGCATTTCACCCATTTTACATATTTTCCAAGCAAGTTCCTTTTGGTTTCAGGAGAAAAAACGCTGCATGGCCAATGTTTACCGGCAAGTTACCTCTGACAATGTCATATCACGAAATATACTACTTTAACCCGCGTAGGGGACCGAGGGAGACTGGGTAAAACGGTAAGAATTCCTCCACCCCAAGCTCCCTCGGCCACCCAATACACAGGGCCGCTACGCAGGCTAGTCCTACTTTATGCTATCCTACACCTGACAATTATATTTTTATCATTGACTCAAATAAAATRATGATAAAAGTTGTTTAAATTCACAGAAAAGGAGATATAGTTTCTAAAATCAATGGCAAGAGATGCGGCAATGGAGAAGAAATGAAGGGCGCTTTTCTTCATAAAAGCAGCGATCAGCTAGAGATGGTCAGTAAAAAAAAAACGACGTAATTTATTCCTCCTTTCCTTCCAACGCTGCGGCATCCAGCTAACAACCCACCCACCCTCCGACCCACCCATACATCCTACCCACCTACCCACCCAACCCTACGTCCCACTGTCCGTCCTTCAATGAAGATTCTGTCCACAATTCAAATTTTTGGATTTGACTGATTTCTAGGAAATTGTTCGAAAGGAACGAAATGAAAAAACAGGAATAATACAACTCATCAAAATGGTTCTCAGCAATACACGACGTATTGGAGGTTAGTAGAATTAAATTCATTTAGAACAAATCGAATATATGCACCATCACATGATGGCAGCCATGACAGGGGGCATAACAACAGAGTCTTTTCCCCCGCGAAACTGAATTCTTTCTCATGTAAATCAGATGAGACCAGATTCAATTGTTCCTGCCCCCTCTCATGTCTGCTATCACGTGATGGTGCAAAGCCTCTATTTCCTATTTCCAGATAAATAGATGATGACGATGATGATAATGTCGTTATTGAACATTAAATGGCTGCAAAGCGTGCCAGTTTTCAATAAGTGAAAAAATAAAAATCGTAATCATTATTTTATAAACCATAAATAAATAAATAAATAAATGAACCATTAACCATAATAAAAAAAACCATTTTAGATAGTAAATATGATAACCCGCCCTACTCCCTCCCTTCTCTAAAAAATAAATAAATTTAAACAGACATAGATATCTCAGATTTTGTATCCTTCGTTAAGAGTGGATTGTGTGGTCATCTATGTATTCTTCTTCGTACTTTCAAAGGAGAGAAGTTGGCAGACCATTGAAATTGATTGGTATCCTATACAACGGAAGCCATCAGCGATCCGCTAGTCACTCTCCGTTCAAAACACCCGCGGGGAGGGGGGAGGGGGGTGGGGGGGGGGTACTCCCCTATATTTGCTATACGGGTATGTGCCGCCCTATAGGGTGTGGTTTTTCGGCTTTTGTTTTTCTGGGGTAGGGTATCATTTTTTGACATTCTGTCTGGGATAGGGTATCATTTTTGTCCAGTTAAATATTTGGCTTCATCTCAGTGCAAAATCTAAATTATATTGATCTTTATCAAAATGTAATCGCTCTGTAATTATTCAACTTTCTAACCAGGGCAAACGGTAAATGAACTAGAAATAATTGAAATGGGGTCCAGCTGGAGTCTGAGCAACAACGAAACGTATATCCATGACGAGGACCAGACAGTTGTGGCAGACTTTCAGTTTGCTAGTTTCGATACTCCATGGGTGGTCAGGGATGGTACAAGACTTGTCTTGAAGTATCATCTCTCAACCACTGAAGGTTAGTAGTCAGCTTATTTATTCAGTAGAACGTCTATGACGTAATGCTCCATATTGAAGAGTTCATTTTTGCGCAAATCGCAGAGAAATCTAGGGAGACTGAGATCTGATGCGTGCGCAGCCTCTCTACATTTGCTGCTCCTCAAATGAATAAATAAATAAATAAATAAAAWATATATATATATATTCCTCTCTTGATTATAAAGAGTTTGACCAAGAAGGGCCTTGCAGGGAGAATGTACGCGTGCGCTATCACTTTTAGTTTAAAAATACCCAAACCTGAGTCACTATCGTGCAACTGTAGAACGTCATGCAGTCTATGATTTTTAACTTTGAAAAACAGCACAACACTTTAGTTAACTATGTTTTCTTTTTTTTTATCAGAGGAACAAGCCAGATTCATCATTCATAAGTATTGGTCAACGTTTAATGACACAGGCATCCCAGTAGTGATACAGCACGCACAGTCTCGTCTTTGCATTGCGCTTGACCACGAATCCATTTATTTAGAGGTAAGCTAAGAAAACACTAAAATTAAAGTAGCATTTTTCGGTTGTTATTTCATGTAAGACTACATGAAATGGCACTATTGGATTATCAATTATTAATTATTGATTATAACGTCCTGAAACCCTAACCCTAACTCTAACCCAAATCCAAAAAAACCTAACCTTAGATTTTATTATGGAATAGTGCCATTTCATGTAGTCTTACATGAAATAGTAAGGCATTTTTCATTTGGTGGTTCCGCAGCCCTGGAACACGCTGTGGATTTTAGTGATGACGTTTATGTTATTCTATTCAGTATTGAATTCCAACTGAAGTCCTCTCAACCTGGCCTTAGTTTTTGGATTTGTTTTCCAAACCAGAGTCTTGGTTCAAGAAAGACAAATCGTATAGTCTTTGGTTCATGATTTTTAAAATTTCTTGACTTCATTTCTTATCAGGAGGTAAATGACTTAAGCACGATTGAAGGTCAAACACCATATGTATTCAATATGCATACTGAGCTGGAGGAAGGTAATGGATGTAATACGACATTCCAGTCTCTCCTGGACAGATCACTTTACATTGGGTTCAATGCTCTTGGTGAAAGGGCTCACATGGAACCCATTCATGTGTTGCCAAGAAGCTCAGATCGCCTTGGTAATGAGCATGAAAAAGTTGTATTTATCTTGACATATTCAAAAGTCTGATATCCATCACCAGTACAGATTATAGTAAAGTCAGGAAAATAGTTAGGGCAAGGGAACTCTACCAAGACACTTCACTGGCTTCCGTGTTGCACCAATCAAAATGCACCAAAATGCAGAAGTAGTGCAACAGCCAATTTAGTAGGCTCCAAAAATACATTCAGGTTACCATGTCTTTTCTTATTCATAATAAGTCTGCTCTAAAGTTGGTATTCACTCGAGCCTGCATAGGGGCTCTTCGGGAGGGGGGTTGGGGCGAGGAGGTGAGGAGGCAAGGAGGCGAGAAAGCAAGGAGGCAATAAATAGGCATATACACAAAAACCTAGGGGTTGCAAGCAGGCTCTCCTTTCCTTACCCTTTGTCCCACCCCCTAGTCCCAACCCTCTCCCCTTCCCCAAGAGCCACTGCGCAGACTATATTCACTCTCTTCTCAGTTATAGCCTGACAGGCTAACAGGTTTGTTTTTCAGAATTAACTATTTCGTTTTAACAAAATATTTGAAATAGATGAGAAAAATAAACATAAAAAGTTGTTTTTAAGTCTTGATATCATAGACCTTTCCCAAAGATGTTTGGGTGACCACAAACAATGGTTCCAAGTTGTTGTTAAACTTGATGTGTTCATTGATTTGTATTTTTTTCAAGTTCAACCTCGGCTTAGGGCCATTGTTTCATGGTCACTCGAGTGAATTCAGGAAAGCTCTATACCTCGCCTCATGAATTCATAGCTTACTACATTGTGGTTACATATATCTTTTATAAAAATACAATGTGTTCTCTATTTTTTGTAGATTTTTAGTCTACATGTAACAGTACTGACTTGATTGGATTACATTAGGTAGCAGTCATGCAATTACAAAAGTAATTTGATTTTTTCTGCTTTTCCTGTTGGATCAATCTCATTAGAAATTGTTGATAATATTAGTTGGCAAAGATTACTGTGCAGACACTCTAACACACATTTTTTAAAGATTTTCTGCCATTTGATTTGACAGGATGGTGCCTAAAAATGTTTGATTCCTTTGTTTCTACCGAGAGCTTTCATTGAATAGTCATAAAAAAATGTCAAAAAAACCTTGAAGTTTTCATGGTTCGAGTGTCCTGCACACTGTAATTATAGGAAGTGTCATAAACACACACTTTGTTGTCATGTGATAATAAAGTGAGAGTACACTGTGATATAGATATTTATTATATGACCGTGAATCTTAGAGCCTAGACACTAGCAAATCGAGCAATCTGATTGGATAGATCGCATCGCGGACTGGTCTATATTCTCTGGTATTAACTGGTCCGATCGCATATTAATCATACGGCGAAAACATTTTGTCCTTTTCAATGAAAAGTGGTCATATAATAAAACTCTTATCAACCGAGCTTGGTCGGTCTGTACGGGATAATCTTGACATCGGTCGGGTACAAACCTTGGTCAAGATTATCCCATACAGACCTCCTACTCTGTTAATAAGATCTAAATATCATACACAATAGTATGTAGATATTTAAGTTTTTTTAAAGACTTGGTTACCAGTTTACTCAAAACTTGTATGTGGGATACTTAATTCATAAGTTCCAGTAAGAAGTATGAAAAAAAAGTCATTTAGCTCATGTACTTTCAATATTATTTTAACATATGATATTGTAATACAATAAGCARTTTCCTTAAAAGAAAAGGGAAAATTGATTTTTATATTATTCAGTTGGTCCCTGATCTCTTTATCAATAAGAGGTCACAAATATATAGGGTTTTTAAGATCAAAAACAAGATGCATTCTGGTCTAGCTACCAAATGAGCCATGGTGTTAGCCAAGAATTTTGTACCCAAGCTAGACCAGAATGCATCTTGTTTGCTGGCTTTATCAGAAATAGCCTTAAGTAATCATAACCAATAAAGTTGATTCCACTTTTAACCATATTTTTAACCAATCTTTATGAAATGTAGATATTATTTAATCCAATTTAGTGGAACTAAACATGTAATTTTTCGTTACCTTGAATAAAGACAATAGTTTTTGATGAGACGTCTGCACTGATTTTTATGATGTTTGAACTGTCCTCAAAAAAGTCTGGGAACTATGAAATAAATGTTAGAAACAATAGACCTTAGTACTGCACAAACAACTTAAGGCCTATTTAAATGAAGGTAGGATGATCAATATTGATAGTTTGCAAGCATTGCCAAGAAAGTCAAATTACAAAGACATGGCAGCCATATTGATGGTAATAATGAGAAGTCTTTAGCGGAATACTACCAACATGGCTGCAAATTATATGACATAACATGAAAATGAAGAATTGTTTTGGGACCCCACTTGAAAAAAAAAACTAATTGTCCTTTGGACTAGAGGTACCCTTTCAGATTTCATAGAAATGGGACAACTGTAATCTATTATTTTTCCTCTCATCCCCTATCCCTGAAAATCCCAAATAGTGCCTCACAAGATAGCCTGCATATACAAGTTTAAATGTATACACCTACTTGCAAGAAGGTTGCCATACAAGAGTAGAACATTAGTAATTTAGGGAGAAAGGAATACATTAAAAGACAAAAGAAAAAGTTCAGCTTCAGTGATCTTCTTTTGTTTTTTAATATAATTCCTATCCCACTAAATCACTAATGTTCTATTTTCGTATGACAACGTTCTTGCAAAAAGGTGTATATAAAGTATTCGACAATCAAAATTTGTCCATAGTAAAATTAAATAAAAAATTGAAATTTTAAAACTTCAATAAACTTACTTTAATAGGTTAAAATCCCCTTTTGATAACTTAAATAATCCAGGACTGCTCGTTCCCTTGCGCTCGAGGCGTTTAAAAGTGTTACACGTCATCAAGATACCGCTGACCCATGCCATGCTGGCACACAACAAAAACATTTCTGATTTATTATCCGTCTGCGATATATAACTAAACCCCTATAATAGACGATTATTTTAACAGGACGCTTATAACACTGCCTCTAAATAAAAGGAGGATTTAAAGATATACATGTGAATGGAGAAATTTTTTCAAGATTTAGTCCCTTGAGAGCATCGAGGACATGGCAGCCATTGTAAGTACCTGATACCTCGAGAAATATTTGAATCATTGTGAATTCCAAACCCCCAATTTTGATTAATTATTGTGGAGTTATAACGTTGTAAATTAACTGTGTGATTACGGGAAATTCGCGTATGTCTAGGTGTTTTTATATCTCGTTATGTAAAATCCAAGATAACCTTTTTYGCAAATATCTGTAATATATATCTCAGCGCTATGTCGAATCCTTTGAGAAAATTTGTCAYCTCAAAGAATCAAATATTGTTTTGGTAATATTTTTGACTTATCGTTCAAAAATATTGATTAAATTCGTTAAACAAGCTAATTTGTATTAGATACCTCCTCTTGTTAAGCTTTTATTCATAAGTATGCGTATTTAAAGAAAAAAACTCCTTGAGTTATTAAATGTTAAGGAACTATTTAATAGAGCATCTGGTATTGTGTTTACCAAACGAATCATATCAATGATTTAGTGATTTATATCTTGAGATTCTTGCTGAGCTGTTTATCAAACACTTCAATTTAAAGTGGCTTTTATTTGTTGCTCAATTTTGGTGTTTGAATGAATAATAAAATTTGTGAGTTATTGTCCAACATTCAACCCAGTAACCCTCATCCTAGACTGCGTTCATAACGTATGGCAGGGGGGGGGGAGGGGATGGCAGATGAAATTGAGGGGGGATCAGGAAAATTTTGGTAGGAAAAAGGGGGAGATGGGCAAATTTTTATCAGAAAATTGGGGGATGCACAATTTTTGGAAGAAGCTACAAGCCTTGCTTAGGAGGGAGCGTATTTTTTGCATGACTTTAAGGGGGTGTTAAGAATTATTCTGAACATTTCGAATTTTCACCCCCCCCCCCCCTGCCATAAGAATGCAGCCCTAGATAATGATGAAATAAATCGAAACGATATAGCAATCTTAAAAATAATAGGAATGTGTATATATTTGTTTAAAGAAAAGTCAAAGCCCTGTTATGGAGGAAAATGGTATTGACAATGCTRCTCTAGATGAAGGGAGTAATGCTCCAGAAGTTAAATCTTCTTCTGCCAAAACCCCAGGAAAGGTAAAAATTAAAAAARGAAATAAAATAATAAATAAGATAATGAATACAAATTAAAGGCAATGTTACAAACTATAATTTCTAATATTCTAACAATTACTTTGCATTAAATTACTTTGCAACTGGCTTGTGTAGAAAATTCTTGTAGGTCGCAGAAAGTTACCCTGCGAGTAGAGGTTGTTTTTGTACCACCAAAATGGAGGGCAGATAAAGACCTCTGATAGCAGGGTAGAGCAAATAGAAGGCAGTTGAAATTTTGAATTTGCTGCAGCAAAATATAAAAAAGAAACAATTGTGATATGGCATCAAAGTAGTGCACTGTGCAACAATATTATTTTTGTAAGCTAAATTGCATTAGAAATTTTCATGTTTTAAAGCATCTTAGTGGTATTAACAAAGGTCATGTGCACAACTAATGTACTGCCTCTCACCAATGACCCTGGTTAGAATAGCCAATGTGCACRAGCRTGAATCTCTAGCACAAAGCATGATGGGAAACCAAGTACTAYGCAAATCAGAACAAGGAAATCAATAGAATTTTCAGGAAAAAATTATTGTGCTATTTTTTCTGTTAAAATATTTACAGTCTCATAGAAAATGTARAAGGAAAAGTTGTCAGATGAATTTTTAGAGGAGCTGAAAAAGTGTAAGTACTCAGTTTACCATCATGCTTTGTGCTAGAGATTTGTGCTCATTTACATGTTGGCTATTCTGGGCTCAGTGTGACTGTCCCACCCTGTGATACAATAGCCAAAGCTAAATATATTTTAGATTGCTTTGGAAAGTGCATTTAGTTAAGTTTGATAGCTAATATGTGATGATATTGTATTCAAGCTTGATAGCTTACCTAAAGATGAACTCATCAAATTTGTCAAGAAACAAATGATTTTGCTGAAACAAACAAGAACAAAATGCCAAGGTAATCAATTAAAAATGTTTTAAATGAATTATTTATTAGTGTGTTTTAATAAATTATTAATTATGTGAATGATTTTGAATTCTGATTAAAGATCTTAGGATTAAATACATAAAAATAGAAAAAACAGCAATATTAGTAAACAGCATTTCGATGTCAACATGATATCATTTTTCAAGTTCCATTTGAACTTTGAAAAGATGTTGTGTTGACGTTGATAAAATGTTCACTAATATCACTGGTTTTTCTAATTAAATGAATTTGAATTAAAGAACTAAGTTCAAAACTTGAAGAGGAAAAGGAAGAAGTAAGAAGATTAAAAGAAGAAGAGTCATCATGGTTGGAAAGAGGAATACATGCAGAGTTTGAAAAGAAGGATGAGGTAATTATTTGCAAAAATACTATAATTTAAGATGAAGACAAATAAGAAAAGTCATATAAATATATCAATAACTATTTTTAGATTTTAAGAAAAAATGATGAGCTACAAATGGCTGCAGAGCTTGGTAAGAAGATGCTCCAAAAGAATGATGAATTGAAGATAAAGTATGCACAACTGGAAGAAGAGCATGAGAATGTTGTCAAAGTAAGACATTCAAAAAGTTGATCAATGCAAAAATGGCATGCTACATTAATACAATATTATAGTATTGATTTGTTGAGGAAATAATTTTTATTTCTGGAAAATATCTGCTTTCATAGCTAAGGAGAATTTCTAATAAGTTCTAAGGGTAGTAAAATCCTCCATAATTATTTTATAAGAAAATGGAGAATTCTCTAAGCACAGAAGAGACCAACAAGCAACTCTACTCACATGTGATGGYAGGTCTGGGGATCAAACCCCTGAGTACAGTGATAAAAGTGGCACACTACATGTACCCTTGTTTGGTAGCTGTTACTAGAACCTTAGAAAATGTTGATACCTTATCCATAGGTCTTTTCTGAGTTTGATAAACAGGATGTGGTCTAGGTTCAGTACAAACAACACCATATTATGTATGATGGACAAACGATGTGTACCGAAGCTAGACCACAATGCACCATAATCACTATCTCAAAAGGTCTATAGGAAACTAAAATTCTCCAAGGTTAGGTAGAATATGAGAGAGCTAGTACTTCATAAAGACAGGTAATTTGGCATCATCCATCTCAATGCAGAAAGTATATAGTGGATATTCTTGATCTTCATTATGAAGATAAGATTTGGCTGAAATTGTCATCGTTTTTTTGTAGGAACTTGAAACTGAAATAGACAGACTAACTTCAGAAAGAAACAGTCTCAAGTCAAATTTAAAAACACTCAATGAAAAGTTCCAGAAAACTTCACAGCAAGCAAAGGTTTGTCCTCAAATTTTATAATCTCATTAAACATTGTTTCAATGCCAACATTATGTGATGACCATTTTGCAGGTGCTGCATCTTCTCATTAATGAATCACAAACAAGAGTTTATGTGTGTAAATTTATGATCATATTTGCAAAGTTTTTGACTTGGACAGGGAATTGTTTTATTTCACAATGACGGCACATCAAAACAAACTATTGTTTTAACKCTAGGGATCATGGTAGCTGGAGGGGGATGAAATGAGAACAACACAGCTTAAATCACAATGAAATTTAGTTTATGAGCTGGTGAATGCAAGAATAACTAAATAGTATGCTAGATATCTTGAAAGAAGAGAATTAAGCTTGAATTTAGGCTAAAATTTCTATCATTTTAGCCAATGTAAACAAACCGTGATATCATTATGGAATAGGGCAATTTCAGAAACCCTAGCATGCTCGTGATGTCCATAAATATTTATCTTAAATCTAAACTTAAAGTTTCATTCAACTTTTGGATTTATCATAATATTTTCTTAGGAGTACAAAACTGGACTGGAAAGACAAACAGCTGAGGGAGATAAAACAATGGAACAAATGCAGAAAGACAATAAAATGCTGCTGATAAAAATACAGGTAGAATAGAAGAAAATGTTTAATTTTCCTGAAAATGATGTTAAGAATATAAATTAATGTGAATATTGATTTTAGCAATTACAGGTGCAGCGAGAACAAAGTCAGTCAAATTTTGAGAAAAATGAGAAAGAAAGAACACAATTACAACAGACATGTAATGTAAGTTTTAATATTCAAGGGCAGATCCAGGGGGGAGCCCCCCTTCAGCAGAAAGAAAAAAACAAAACAAAACTGATGAATTAGATGCTTTTTTTAATTGTTTTCTGTTGTGTTGACGGAAGAAACTCAATTAGCCCCCCCCCTAAACTCAATTAGCCCCCCCTAAAATTTTGGCCGGATCCGCCCTTGATATTGTCATCGTTAACACTAAATGAATAAACAGATGAATGAATAGATAAAAGAGAAATGCATTTTTTTGCTTATTCAAATGTGTATACACAGGATCTTCAAAGCAAGAATGAAGCAATGAAAGCCGAACTAAAGAAACTAAAGGAAAAGAGACGTACTCCAACAGAGAAGACTTTAGCAGACCTTAGACARCAAAACCAGGTATTTTGAACCTCTAGTGTAGAAATATATATCTCTGCTTCAATCAGATATGCCACATAATTTCAACATAAAGAACCCTTATAGTACTACATGTKTAAGCAATAAAAATTGTTACCATTTGTTATTGGTTGTTTTATATAGGACTATAGAACTTTTAAGTCATGATGTATTTCCGGTCCAACTTAWYACAAGGACTGCTGAAATAAAGCAAAAAAATTTTCTCAATGATTTRACCTCCAYCTGAAAYGATTAGAACTTTGAACAACAAATCCTGACATRMAGAAAAAGTAAGAAAAATMTTTATAGGACTGCTTTTTGTTTGGACCTGGAAGTCGTTTTTCCATACAGTTGACATCATAGTTAAAAGTTCTATAGAATCAATCAGTTTGGAWATTTGGCCATTTGGAAGGTCAAAGCAAAACAATGATTGATAGGATGGCGAGTCTAGCTTCTTTGCACCTTCCAATGATAAATCAAATTTAATGAAAACAGGCACAGAAATAGGAAAGATATGCAACACCATGGTATAATGTTCTTGAAGAGATTCATTTCCATTCACTTCATCCTGAAACTTATTGGTATAATTTTTGTTAATGTGAACAGAAACTACAAGAAACACTTACAAAGACAACCCAAGAACACAGTGATTTGACTGAAGCCTTGARAATAGCTAAGAAACAAATGAAAATCCATGATCAACAAAACAAGGTAGGTAAAAAAAATAGATTTGTTGACCATTAATATTGATTTATATTGGTTTTGTTTTATGGTATTCACTGACTCTTTCTTTTTGGAGTCCTTGACCTGGAAGGATTGTTGGATGCTCTTTCTCTCTTTCTCTAGAACTGTCTGATCCACTTTACAATGAGATAAACATCTTTATTTAAACTTAAATAAGACATCAAGGTACTCCAGTCAGTGGCTATATGCCTCTAATATCAAAAGGAGCCCTTACTGAAAGATTTGGCACCAGAGTACTGTTMTTCTCCGAAAAGTTGTATAAATAGTTAAAATCTTGACATTTCTGTGTTTTCTATTAATTAAGGAACTTAAAGSAGAGATAGCAAAAATAGCATCAGAAATGGAAGCTAGGGCTGTTCATTCAGAGAAAGAATGCCAAACTGATGAACCTGAAGGAAAACTAGTCAGTCAGGTAAAGTTCTTTGTTCRGCTTGCCATACTTAGGCTTGTGCAAGACATGTTTTTATACTGTGTWTCATATAAACCTCTTGTGGCAGTTCCAAGAGCAGCTCAATTTGGAGGTCAATCACAAATGATGAATTTCAATTCTCATGGCGATAAATTCTAATGCTTTGCACTTTTGAGCTGCATTGGGATTATGCTGCAAGGGGTCATGGCTGAGCTCTTTCTGTTAAATTATTCTTAGGTTTTGTCTAAGTTATTGTTTGTCTTTCTAGTGTTTTGAGATGGYAATTTAAAAGAGTAATAGACCCTTTTGCATAAATGGCGAAGCCTATGCAAAAAAGCTAGGAAAGTACTAAGCCTCCCAATGACTTATTGAAACAATGTTCATTAAACACATCATTTGTTTTTCTTCTACATAAGGGGGCTTAGTACTTCTTTGCCTATGATTAGTACAATTATTTAAAGGGTCTATGGGCTATGTTCCTTTACCTTGTTAATTTCTTATGAAATAGGAAATAGAAAAGGAGCTTCAGACTCTGATTGCTGAAAGAGATGAGTTACAGTCTCGATTGAAGAGAATGGAAGAAACATTTTCATTACACCTTGCATCAGGAGATGTGGATGAAGCTAAAGYGCAACTTGTTGAGGACCACCAAAGACTGAAAGACAATTATGAGGTACATGTCTACTCATACAGCGGTAGGGACAAAGGAGGGAGCTTTTGTCTCCTTCTATAAAAACTTTAGGTTCCCATCTCATGATATTTCGTACAAAAAAAAAAAAGAACTGCCATATTTCTGTGAAAGTTAAGTTGGTTCTGTTACTTCCAAGCAGTCAGTTGATATTCCTGTAGTACACATTCAGTTGTTTGATGCTGTTGCGGTCGATGATTCGAGTGTTCTGTCATTGATGTTATTTTAGTATTTATCATTTATTATCATTTTCAGAAATTGGCAAGTGAGTTGGTTATTTTCCAAAATGAGAACGAGCATCTTAGAAATACCGTGGAGAACTTGCACTATGAATTTGAAGGAAAAAATGAAAACAAGAAGGTAAATAGGCAATCACTAAAATAACAATTTACAATGGGCCTTAGTTTTTGCCGGTAGTATTCAGATATAGCAAAGATGCGTTTCAAGATGACGGCCTGAGTCGTTCTTTTTCTTGCATTTGCGCGCTTTCGAGGTTGACGCACTCAACAAATGATATCCCAATGAGGATTCTTGTCTTGTTGAAGACGACAGAGCGCGCAAAAAGAGAAAGGTTTGCGCCGTCGTCTTGAGAACGTATTTGTCGTGTCTTTGCTTAATCTGTCCAATAACATCATCTTATGATGTCATAAAATACATTTCTCGTTTTTAAAGCACTTAACTAGGTAACAAATTGATACACAACTTTGTTGTCATGATATGACAAACGAACCCAACGATCATTTCTCCAACATCATGACGGCTCTGACGTCACAAGTACGAACACACTGCACTCATTTGTATTTATGTTTTATACACTTGGTTCGTGTATTCAGCACCTCAAGCCTAGCACTTAATCTTGTTTTAGTTTTTGTTATAAAGATCACAGCAATGTTAAATATCGTTCACTATAATTTTTGTTTTTCACTCGCGTTCCTGGCACCTTGTTTCACGCACAAGTTAAATCATCTTCTTTGTCCTAAATTAATTTGAACTCAATTAAAACTTACGCACTTTGAGTAGATCCTTGAAGTACTGAGGTGCTGGAGAAGCATTTGCACTCAAAAATAAACTCGGTTGTTTTCGGAACAAATTCGGAGGCACATTGGAACAACGAAACTTGCTTGGTATTTTTTTYCCTATTACTCACCTTAGTACTTCTCGGTTTCACCAATAAAGCACAAATACGTTTCTTTCATCGTTTCTTACGGCTTTCCTTTCTCGGTTGGTGATTTAAAGTCAGTTTTTTAAATTTTCATATATTTAAATACCCTGTCCAATAAAGTTGTTTGTACCCTGTCCAATAAAGTTGTTTTGTACCCTGTCCAATAAAGTTGTTATTATAATATCTCGTCGTAACCGCCAGGAGGTCGAGATGGAGTTCGAAGCTGTGCTAAAGGAACGTGACGAAAATAAATTTTATGTTAAGGTACGACTTTTTTTAAATGGACGCGCCGCCGGCGCCTGCGGTTCTAACGCATGCGCATCCGTGCGCTTTTTGAGAGTGAATATTTTATAGTGTGGAAAGTTGAAAAGAGGAAAAATGTATGTAGAGGAATGGAAAGTGAATGCATAARAGAATACTAAAGATTTCATTAATAACAAAAATAATAACGTTTGCTTACATTTAAGAATACATCATATAAAATCACCATTAAATCATAAAAAAAATTAAAAGAGAAATAAAAGGAGGAATGARAACGAGAAAAAATGAGATGTGATTGAGAGAGAGCAGTAACTCCATAAAAGCAAATTCAGATGCTTCCTGTGGCCGCGTTCCACTGACATACTGTAGTTTGAGCCGTCGTCGGCATTTTCTATGTAAGAACCAAGTTCCTTTTATAGAAACTGAGAACGCGAAACTGACGAACAGTGTACGGCTTTTATATGGGTGGGAAACTACGGTACTGACTCACATCCTGAGCACGCACACGGTACGATATGCTTTAGAGATGTTATTGTACGGTACTGACTTACAGCGAGCACACGGTACGATGTACTAAGTGACTTACAGCACGCAAACGGTACGACCAGTCATAACACGTTGTTGCTTTCTATTGTTTTCCTGTGTCTGAAAACCATTATCAAATAACAACCTGGCTTGCACAAAGCTAAGGTAAGATGCGGCACATCTACAGTACATTTAGAACTTTGCCGTATCGTTTCCCACTAATATGAAATCCACTATAGACTGACAATTCACTTGCTATTAGCATAATAGCTTGTGCAGTGTCGGGACCGTTGCATACGGCACGCGAGGCTTCTWAGGGGTTTTCATGTAGAAAAATTTAAGGTGCTAGCTATCCAGCAGTGATTTTTCCCCCTTTGAAATGAAAGCAAGGTTTAACATATTGTTTTGATAGGAACTTTGCGATGAGTTGGACAAAGTAAAGAACGAGAAGGAAAAAGTTACGAAGGCTTTGAAAACTCTCAAAATTAATCATGAGGTAAGTAAATTACAGTTTACACCATCACTGGTGATCACGGCACGGTACGTCCGTACTAAAAAATCTCGAATTTAAATCAGCTCTCTGGCAAAATACATGCGGATACAGTTTTACCAAAAGAGCATAAATAAGAGAGGAAAACTTCTTAATAACGCCCGCGCCATGTAAATACCCAGTTGGGCTATTTTTAGTAACCGGATGCAGTTTAAATTTCGAGTTACCCTAACTCCCGTTCGTCATCAACTTGCGCGCGTTCTTTTCGTTCGTGCGCAATTGATAACGCATGAGATTAGGTTAAGGCGACATTTAAACTGCATCCGGTTACCTTTAAAATAGCTCAACCGGGTATTTACATGGGCGTTATTAAGAAGTTTCCCTCTCTTATTTATGCTCTCTTGGTTTTACTACATCGCCATTTTTGCTACAAAACCAGTCTTGAATACTGTATAAACCTATATTGCGTCCATCCTGCYACAAGAGCTCTTGATCATATCTATGTATTTTATACCCTTTTTTTTTCGTATCATACTTCGTGAGGCTAACAAGCTTTTCCTTTGTACGATTATTTATGCCATTCTTCAGTTCTTGTTTGCTTTCGTAATAGATTTTAGAAAAGCTACGAGTTGCACTAAATTTTTGTACTATTTTAATTTCTGTACTATTTTAATTTCTGTTTAATTTCTCATTCACATGCTCAAAATTACATTTGTTCTTCTATTCGAATTATTTTTGCTTTTTTGAAATTGCACGAGCATGCCAAGCATGCATGTTCCGATTTAACGTACTCTTTATCTACTCTATGACGTAACACTTGCATCGATCATTCGTGAGCATTCGCGTACACTAATTGGTCAGTAAAGATAACCTGYTATGACTTTGTATCTTGTCATAACTCTATAACACTCGTGCAGGGAAATAAGAAGCTAATCCTTTCTGTACAGCAWGAGCGAAATCAGCTTCAATCATCTATTAAAACTCTTCAACTTGAAAAGAAAAGACTTTTTCATGATATAAAGGTACTGTTGTTATAGTCAACATCGGAGTAGCGATTGAGCTCAAAACTTGTAGAGGGGAGGGGTGGGACATTGGGTTGTCTTAATTTTAGTATAAGAAGGAGTAGTGTTTCATTTGTGTTCAATGAAAAAATTAATTTAGAACTTAAAAAATGGCAGATGTTGGATAGATGTTTAACTTTAATCATTTTCCTTTTATTATAGAAACTGAAGACGAAGTTAAAGGGTTTTAGCTCATCACAAGAGGATCTAAGTCGCCTTTCTACCAAGGTACTTAAAACAAGTTGCATATATTTGATCTAATTAGAGTAGATTTGTCTATAGATRTATACAGATGTCTTGTGTTGTCCAATTAAGATGTTCCTGAAGTGGTTCAATGGAAACTGGGATTTATCTTTTTGTGTGTGCTAAAAACTGGGACACGTAGAACTGAATAAGAGCCCCAACGCGTAATTTCTTGAAACATTTTAAAATGGGTTTTGCAAAAATTAGACAGTGAAAAATGGGCGAAGACTTTCATTTTGAAACTTGTGATTTTGATTCATGTTGCCATAACGCCTATAATACCTAATGAAATATTTTGTTTAAATGCAATGTTTGAATGACCATTTAAGGAAATAAGAAAACGTCTAGCCTTGTTGAAGGTAGAAAAAGAAGAGATAGAGGCTGGTTTAAGTGAGGCAAAGAAAGACCTTAGAGAAATGGAGGATAAAAATAAGGTAAAAGTGAATTAAGCAGTTAATGGCTGCAAAAATCAAAAGTAGGAATTTAGTTTGATATTAATATAATAATATCTTAATGTTATTTTCCTATAGGAATTACTGTCTGAGTTTGAAAGAGTGTACCTTGAAAATGAAAGTTCCCAAGAGAAATTGAGTGAGCTAAAAGAACTATACAAGAACTCAGATGAAAATATCGAGGTAAAATGGCACGCTACATTTAGCTTATAAAGTGTTTTATAGGAATAGAAATTATTTGCGAGTAAGCTGATAGTATTGGTGTTCTGCAGGGCCTGAGAAAACAAAATGAAACTATCCTCTTCGAAAAGGATGAGTTGAATCTCTCGTTGAAGTCGCTTCAAGAAGAGCATAACAGCATTCTACAGGAAAACAAGGTACCTAACTCGCTCAGTCACCAACTTTTGGGTGTATTTTAACAAGAGAGTACTTCATACTCCCTTGATTTTAAATATTAAAAAAATTAATSTTACTGATTGATACATTAACATTGATTATATTACAATTGATGCTCAAATTATCGTATCTTTTGTAGGAATTGAAAGCAAATTTAGAGAAGATGTTGACAGAGAGTGAAAGCACAAAGGCGGTACATATCGTAACAATATAGGATTTTTGCTTCACTCGATTTACCTCGACTTTGTCCTTCAATTTATTTTATCTTGATGTTTTTCATTTTCTTGTTTTCAGGATTCTTCTGTATCTGAAGAGAAACAGGAAACAGAAAATAGATTTAGAAAACTTGTTGAAGCAAGACAGGACCTCGAAAAGCAAATCGAAGAGAAGAATCAACAGATGAACTGCTTTACAAATGAAAAAACTATTTTACAGGAAGAGTTATCAACCTTGAAGCAAAAAGTTGAAGATGTGAATGAAAAGAACCGTCTCTTGGAAGAACAGAAAGCTGAATTACAAAGACGGATAAATAATTGTAATGATGAAAGGATTTCTCGCCAAGGAAATCTCTCAGCCTTGAATGAAACGGTGGAGAACTACGAGAAGGAACGAGAGGCAAGTGTCACAAAGTTTGCACTTTTGGCGGGAAAAATGACGCGTGTTCCTGGTTCCCGCGCTGGTTTTCCCGCCATTACTAGATTAGGGATTTAGTTTTCTTTCGGAGTATTTGATAGAAAATTAACTCGAGAATAATGAATCTGGAATTTAATTCTCAATTATTTCCCCTTTTTTTCTTTTACATTTTTACACTTTAAAAAAATATTACATTTAAGGAATTTGTTTTTTTTTAAATTTACAGAGCAATACCAGTGAAGTAGACAGACTAACTGAACAAAAAACTGAATTACTCGCCATGATTTCTTCACTTGAAAACGAAAATCAGTTCCTTCGATCCCAAAACGATGAATTAAAAATAAATGACAATGGACAGAAGATGATTCAGCAAGAAAAAGAAGAGGTGCAAAAGAGTTGTGAAGAAAATATGGCTGTTGATAACGACGTGGTCGAGGCATCCAAAGAAGATATTAAAACGTTAGAAGAGGAGAGGAAGGTRAGAATCTATTTAATCTAGCAGTGGTGTCAACTTTATGATGGTCTTCCTGAACAGAATAAATTATTTTTCCAGGAATTAACTCTAGCTTTAGTCGATGCCACAGATAAAGTGTATAATTTGGAGAAAGAAGTGGTTTCTTTGCAAGAAAGACTTCAGATGACAGAGAATCTAAAAGAGGTAACACTAGTACATCATATTGAGTATATTATATATAGTTAGGCCAATATTCCAGAACCCCAAATTTGTTTGGCTTAGCTTTAAACTGACTATGGAAAATAGAGAAAAAGGATGATTGGAACCCCACAGATTGATTTCGCGTGGTTTTAACCTTTTGAAAAAACTTTCCACCCCACCCCCTGTAATACTGTAGGATGTCCTTCAATGATTCACTACATTTGACATGATGCAGATTCATTTAAGCTATGCTATTTGCCTTTTTATGCTTTAGGAACTCAGTAACCAGCTCAAGATATCTGCCAATGAAGACAGTAATTTGACAGGAATGATAAAAGGTCTAGAAAATAAGTTACAAGCTGCTGAAAACACAGTTCAGGTTAGAAATATGAGAAACTTACTTGTACACATAATTTGACAAAAGACTTGAAGGATATAAACTGATTAGCTTGATTTTTAGAATACCACATGAAAAAGACCTACTAATATTAACCAATAATCCCTCCTTCCCATAGATAACCCTAACTCAGGTACCTCCTGGGTACCTCTTTATGAAAGGAAAAAGTATTATTTAGCCAAACGTCTTTCATTCAAATTTTCATTCAAAATTCATTGAAGGAACAAAGTAATAAGCTGAAAGAAAATGTTGAAGAGCAAGAAAGGTTGGGAAAAAAAGTCACGGAATTGAAAGCAAAATTGCAGGAGAAAGACAAAATCAACAAGGTAATAATGAAGGAATTATRAATTATGTGTATCTTAAAAGATTTTTCAAGATCTGATCAAAAACTAACCATGTACGTTTCGAATGATGAGATGATTCCTGAAAGTCATGATTAAGTCACTGAAATTTACAATTGCAGAAGTTACAAGAAGAAAATGAAAAAATTCGTAACGAGAAGGGGAAAATGGAAGACCGTTACAACGACTTGGAAAGAAAGAACAATTCCCTCAACCAGAAAATTGAGGTGAGGCTTTTTGTAAAAAAATTACCTTTCTTTTCTCCTCGTTCTCTCTCTCACTTGTTTGTTTTCTTAAAGCCGATTGTACACCTAATACTATAATACCTAAAGTATATTTCCACATTTCATGGTTGAAAGCATTCTGACTTGCATTTGCTATTTTTGGACACAGGAATCCCAAACCTTGCATTGCTTCAACCGTATCTTTCGTAAACAATATATTGTTAGTTAAGTGCATCCTTGTGTTATTGATATTCGCTGCTGATATTATGTAGGACGATAAAGCGATTGTTCAGGATTTGGAGAACAAGTTGGAAATCTTGTCGAAAAAACTTGTATCAGCGAACGAAGAAAAAACTGTGAGTATCTATGTCTTTAGTTGTGGCATCTTAACCTGCTATGAATACACTTTGCTTGGACTTTGGAAAGCAGCTTACAAGCCATTAGCAAACACCATCTTTTTTTCTACCTAACCGGTCATGGTGGTATTCAATGCAGATCGAAGAAGCATAAAATATTTAAGAAAGGGTGAATTCAGATTGAAAGCGTCAATTCTAGCCATAGAAATTCCATTGGTACGAAAGATGTTACTCTTGCTGGTTTTCTTCACGAGAACAAACTCAGTATTGTCGTTGTTATCCTGTCAATATTTTAGACTAACGAGAATTTACATATCATTGCTATTTAACCATAATATGGCTCAGCTTGTGTCTGATCGTTTTTTTGTTATTTGTCCTTCATTATTTCTGCTAAAGCACGTCCATCATGCTTATATCTAAGATATTTTTTTACACACAAACATCAAATCGTATCATGTCGCTGTGTAATCTTGGATGCCTAGACTCCATCTTGACTCCATTATATTCTTCACACTAAAAACATTGACTTTCTTAAACTTAACTTTCATAAAAGTAAAGTTTGGTACCTGTTTTTATACAACGATACATAAGTTATGGCCTGGCAAAAGCAACTGTCTGATGGTTGGTTGCTAATTCAAGCATACAATATCAGTAAAAGTTAATAGTCTGCCTTGGTATTTAGTTTCTGCATTATCAACTATTATATTCTGTTATCTTCTGGGTATTTACATTGTTCTCGCACTTTACTAGTTTTCTCATGACAGATTCCTATTTTCCTCAACTATTTTTGTAAATAGATRTGACATTTTTTTTGCATCTTCTTTACATTTTCTTTATCGATAATTGTGGGGCCTTTTGCTAAACAATCAAGTCGATTCGGCTTCTCAATTAATRCCTTTTGAATTCATTTTATTTTTTACATTTCTTGTTACAGAACCACGAAGCAGAAATCGAAGACATCTTCAAAGCTCACGACGAACTTGAAAACAAGTACAACGAAGAACTTCGCGAAAAAAAGGTTATTGTTTATATGTAATATGTAAATAAATATAGCTGGTATGTTTTGAGTAACACACCTGCTCTACTGTCACGCAATGTAACATTGTCACGCACCTCAAAACTCTAGCTTAAGACAATAGTATTTCATTGTTTTAGGAATTGTTGGCTTACGCTGATAGGCTTCAGGAAGAACAAGAGGACTTGCAAGCCCAGTACAGTTCTTTGTCCAAAGAACACAAAGTGAGTTAGAAAGCAMCGATCATTATTTAGGATGTTATGATAAATCTGCAGATGTATAAGTGTTGATGTTATTGTGGTTGTGATTTGTCTTTTCAGGACATTTTAGATCGTCTTTCTGATATCCAGTCTTGTCAACTGAGGGACGAGTCCCATCAGTATCAGCAGCTCACAGATCTACATCAGATAAACTCATCATTGCAGGAGGTAATGCACTGTACAATGAAATGGGAACAACTCAAAGATTTGGAGGGGGTATACTTCATTGGTTCAGGGTCTTGAATCCTTACAGATATCAACTTTATGAAAAATCCCATGGATTTTCTTACCCCTATTTCAAACCCCAGTAAAYACCCACAGAGTTATAAATAATGAATTTCTGATTTACGAGTTTCTTGATGATTTTTTCCTGATAGGAATTTTCACAACTGAAAGAAAAATGTGACTCCCTGAATACCTCTTTCGAAGACAAGGATCACGAACTGCATGAATTGAAAATTCTTTTAGAGAACAAAGACGTGGAAATTGAAAAACTGACCAGTATTCTTGAGGAATTAAAAGCAAACCTGCAGGAAGAGGAAGAGGAAACGGTAAAGTCGAAGAGTGAGTTAGAAAAACTTAAAGAAAACTTACAAGAAAAGGAAAAGTCTGAGGTGCAGGATCGTGAACTAGAGGAGACCAAAGCAAATTTGCAAGAAAAAGAAGAAGAAATAGAAGACCTCTTAGGTAAATTAGAACGTGTTGAAGATGCTCTTCGAGAAGAAGAAGACACGGTAAAGAAAGTGAACGCTGAAATCGAACATTTGAAATCATTGTTATCCAGCAAGCAACAAGAAGTGGATACACTTCATAAATATGTCCAGGATTTGGAGAATACAATTGAAATTTTAAAACAAGAGAAAGAACAATTGGGGGAGATAATACAGTCTCAGAATAAGAAGTTAGAAGAACAGAGGTCAGAAATTTCGAAACTGAACAGCYTTTGCGAAGAACGTGTTATTGGTGTTGCAAGTTTGGAAGAAAGTAACCAGGCGTTGTCTTCCTCGGTACATGAGAAAGAAGAGGAACTAAGAAGAGCCAAAGGAGAAKCAGAAGAGTTGGAAAAACGTTTGAAAACATCAGAGGAAGCGTTGAAAACTCTTGAAACTTTGTACGCGGAAAAGGAGGGAGACCGTAGCAAGACGATTGAAATTCAAGAGTCAATAGAAAAGGAAATTGAAAGTTTAAAAAGTGAATTGAATGGTGTTAAGGAATCATTGGACAACAAGGACAACGAGTTGAAATCTTGTAACGAAAAACTTTGCAAAAGTGAACAAGATATTCAAAATTTTGAGTTAGTTGTTCAGAGCTTGAATRAAAAAATAGAATTGAAAACACAAGACATTTTCGACTTGAATGATTTGAAGAAGAAACTAGAAAAGGAGTTGGAAAAACTAAAGTTACAAGTAAACGACGCAAATAAACAATTACAAAATTCACTTGACTTGGATGTTAAATTACAGGAATACTTTAATATAAATCAAAAGTTGGATCTTGAAGTGAAATCTTTGAGGGAAGAGCTCGAAAACAAGGATACAGAATTTTTAGAAGTACAAGAAAGACTGAAAACAAATGAATACACGACTAAGGAGTTGGAAAAGAGGGTTRGAGAAAGTTCTGTAGAGATTTGTGATTACAAGCAAAGAATCGAGAGTCAGAATCAAGAAATTCAAGATCTTCAACAGAAATTAAGGGAAACGAGTGCAACACTTGAGCAGAAGGAGCAATACTCTTTAGAGCAAGAAAAGTTGGTTTCAAGTTTGTCATCTACRAAAGAAACCTCCAAGTTGAAGGAAAAACAAATTCTTGACTTRCAAGCAGAATCCCAAGCTTTGCAAAACGATATTTCATCGTTAAATAAAAAACTAGAGCTCAAAGAGGAAGAGCTTCATRATTCATTATCTGCAGTCAAAGAGGTAGAACGTCTACAATTGGAGGTCCAAAAACTTGAAGAAAGCATCGAAGCAAAGTCTACTCAAATTAAGGACTTGGAAGTCAAACTTGAAGAGAAAAACACACAAAACGAATCGTTGCAGGCGGGAATGTCGGATTTGAGCGGAAAGATGGAAGGGCAGGTCCAGGAAGTGACACAATACACGAACCAGATTGATGATTTGAAGAAAMAGATGAAAGAAAAAGATGAAAAAATGAGTAAATTAAAACAGGTTGCTATCAAAGCTAAGAAAGAAACAGAAAACGCCAAACAAAAAGTAAGCCATTTTAAAAATTAAAATTAGAATTTACTAATTTGTTTTTTGTTCATACTCAAGAGGCAATTTTTGTTTTCCTTCTCCCTTTTGTTTGATCTTCTCTTAGTGTTATTTTCTCTCTCTCTTTCTTCTCTCTCTTTATTTTAAGCCTTTGATTCTACTTTTAATTCTAATTTTTTTGTCAAATTTTTTTTTGCTAGGCGAAAGCAGATAAAGAAGAATTAATGGAGGTCATAAAACAAATGAAGGAAGACGCTGAAACTCTCAATAGCAAGTTTGCTGAGCAGCAAAACGAAGAACATGRAAACTCAACTGCGATCGAGGTGGGTATCTTACGTAGTGCTTCGTACATCTGTCCTTTGGCACTGCATTCTAAGCCAGAACGAATGTTGCGCATTTTACAGGGATTTATTTAATCCTGTGCGCAGGAAGTATCAATTCAAAGCATTTTTATAATTTACTATAGAGTGATTTCACGAAAGCCATGTTGTGCGGCAAAACAGTACGGAAAATTCCAGTGTCATTCAAAAAAATGGAAGACATCCCAAATCCTTTTTCCCCCCCTCGTTCTAGCGTTGCCCACGGCRTTTTAAGACTGAGAAATTCTCCGACATGACCACTTTTTGCGCAAATTCAGACACAACTGCTGCAGCCCAAGTGAGGTATCATCTTAATGATTGCTTGATATTTCTAATGACAGGAACTTCAAACTCAAATACAAAAGCTACAAGAAGAGCTGACATCAGAGAAAAACAAGTATGTGTAACTCTAGTTGTTCATGATTTGAGTACCAGTGAGTTCCTTGGCATATCTTGTCACACGACTTGGTTAGGTTCTTCGATCTTGAATATCTGTTTTTTGTCGTTGTTAGGTTAACAGAATGCGAAGAAAAGCTGATGGCTGCTGCTCTAGAATTGGGCAAAAAGAGGGAAGAGGTGGAGCAGGTGAAAAGTGAGAAGCAATCCCTTGTCTCTGACCTGGATGCTGCTATTGACGCTAAGCAGGTAAAGTAGCGAAAAAATTTAAAATATAAAATAATAAAGCTTGGGTTATAATGTGATGGAATTAAACATTTATTTTGTCTGAATTCTCAGGGTCTTGAAAAAGATATAGAAAGCTATAAAACTCAAGTTGAGCAGAACAACACGCAGTTACAGGAAAAGCTTTCCGAAAATAAGGTAAATTATTTCAAGTGTTTTCTTTTAACCATTGAAAAACAATAGTTTAGAATAATGGCCCCATAACAGATCCAYGAGGCACACGCTATTCTTAAAATCTTGGAAAAATATTTTGAATGGTTTCAAATTGTGGCCCCATTACAGTTCCATGAGGCACACCATATCCTAAAAATCTTGAAACAATATTTTGACTGTTTTTCGAATTGTGGACCCATAACAAATAATGAGGCACACCCTATTCTTTAATTCTTTAAACGATATTTTAATTAATTTTCCTAAATTTTGTTAAAAGGAACTAAAGAAGAACCTTGAGGAATGCCAGGCAGAGATAGCTCGAATTTCAAAAGATCTCTCACAAAGAGAAAAAGAACAAGAAAAARTGAGCAAAGAAATAGTCGAGGTAGGTAATGGCGCGTTGCTTCTACGTTCGTTTACCCTTCACCCAGCTACCAGTTAAAGATTTAATTGCTTTTATTTGTATGTAGACGATTAACAAGTTGGAGAATACTAAAGAAGAGCTCGAACAAGAGAAGAGAAAACACGAGGAGACGAAAACCCAGCTTGAGAATAATAAAAAGCAACTGGAAGAAGCCGAAAAGAGTGTCAGTCAGAAAAGCATGATGACCCTTGAAATAGCGGAGTATGAACGGACTTTAGAATCACTGCAGACCAAACTTGATGAACGAGTTCAGCAGCTGCAAGCTGCTCAAGATGAGATAGGAAGACAGGAGAAGAGAGTCGAGGATTATAAGGCACAGATCGGTGAGTGCATAAGTTTACTGTATATTAAGCTGAAGGGCATCCCACTCAAATATAGGAAATGTCATTGTATGATGATGATAGTTGTGGTGATGATGGTAAAGATGAAGAGGATGGTGGTGGTGGTGGTGATGATGATGATTATGATGACGACGACGACGRTGATAAGTTGATCAAGTGATGATGGCAACGATGATGATGATGATAAGTTGATCAAGTTATGATGGCGACGATAATGATGATGGTGGTGATGATGATAATGATGATGAGGGTGATGAATGATCACATGACGAGATGAAGATGATGATAATGATAATGAATAAGATGATGGTGATGGTGATGGTGATGGTGATGGTGATGGTGATGGTGATGGTGAGGGTGATAATGATGATAATGATAATGATGGTGGTTGTTTTCTGGACAAGACAAGGTATGGTATGTTAGTTGTTGAGAATATTACCAGTGTCAAGTATTGATGCCCTTGGAGACTGACGATAATTACTAAGTGGATTATTGGAATACACTGTCTCTCCCAACTATCCCCTTTCTTTGCTTAACAGATGCTGTCGATAACCAAAGACAACAAAGCGAGGATCGTTCMATCAAAATGAAAGCCATGCTAGTGAAGATCAAAAAAGACTTGGCGGAAACTAAAAACGAGTTGAAGGAGAAATCATTGTCGGAAGTAAAATTGAAAGCTGACCTCGAAATTGCTAACCAGAAGGCTGAAGAAGACAAAGTGGAGATCTCGAAACTAGTGGCAGAAGTACATAATCTTCAGCAACAGGTGAGTTCGTGTTTATGTTCTAATGCAATCCTGTATCTTGTCTTTTGACACTGAAATGAACCCTCCATTACGAGGTTAACATGGAAATACAAAAGAAATCATACTTTTTCTCGATGAAGTTGTTGGGATTTTTTTCGTATTTCCGTGTCAGCTTCGCATTCAAGATAATTTTGAGATGGGTTCCTTCACTTTACTAGGTATTCTACGTTTCTTATTTGATATTTTGACAGCTTCGCTCAACCACAGAAAACAACAGACGTACAGTAGAAAGCCTGGAGGCCAAGCTCGCTGACGTAAAGGCAGAAAACGAGGCTGCTAAATCTTCCCAGGAGGCAACACTGGCTGAGTTCGAAAGTTACAAGGTACGCAGCTTTTGTTTACTTTTCTGCCCGATAAGTGGCGTGCTGATTATCTTGAAGTATGTTAATGTAATTGAACGTGAATTATATGACTGTGGGAAAAGTTACGATACTGGTTTGCTGAGCCGTGACCATGACGGTACCTTAGACTCAATTGTACAGGCTTAGCCTCGTTTAAGAGTCAGCTATTCGCAGATACCATTAGAAGTCCATGGGATGTCAAAACATTGGTAATGTTCAAGCTGTACATTCTTCTCATTACAGTTGACTTTTGTAAATGGTTTGCTCTTAAGCGAGGCTAAGTCTGTGTAGATGAGTCTTCAGTCATAAAACACAGCGGTATTTACCAAATGAGAAAAGAAACTTGAGCAGTTATCTTACGCGTTACTTTACAACTACATTGATACTCATAAAAATTTATCATTGGAATATCTCCTTACAGACGAGAGTCCACAGTGTTCTTAAGCAACAGAAGACAAAACCTTCTCTCCAGTCCCCTGACATGGATCCGTCCGAGAGGTACTAGAATCGAAATTAATTTCTATTAATTGATTGGCTGGGTAATCTAACAGTCAGTTTCTATTTTCTGTCCTCGTAGAACAAAACTGGAAAAGATTATCGAACAGCTTAAAATTAAAGTTCAAGAAATGAAGTAAGAATTTATTATCATCAAGACATTTCTTATTAAAATAATTTTTATAAAATATATTTTTTCATAATTTTAATCACTTATGATTATAACCGCTGTTGGTAAACTGGTAAAGATCATGTTGAAAGAGGAGAAAGCGATGGGTAATTATGGTTAATGATGAAGAGACCATCATGAAGGGTGGTGATGAAAGATGCTAATGATGATGTTAAGGTTGATGATAATGATGAAGTTGAGTAGGATGATTGTGATAATAACGACGTTGATGATTTCGAGGTTGATGCTGATGCTGATGATGGGAAGGAGCAGAAAGATAGTAGTTTTGGTCATCAGTGGTCACGAGGATTGTTACCGATAACATAAGAACTCGATGGCAATGACAGTGGTGTTACCTGTAGTGGTCGGATGCTGAAACTTTTTAATAGCAGTGAGCCGGAAGTTGATTAAACTGATTTTCTTGTACCAGTGACCAGCACAAAGCGTTGCAGGGTGATTATGAAGAGCTCGAAGCAGAACACGATCGTTTGCTGACAAGAAATAACAAAGTTGTCCAAGACATGGAGCAGAAGGAAGCTATTTGGAAAGAAAGGTATGAAAAATAATACAGCAAGTCTTTATCTTAAGATTTTATAAGGGTTGAAGAATATCCTATTTCGCATAAATCAATTTATATTTTTGCGTTCTGCAAATAGAAAGGAGTTGGGAAGATAGAGCTACGCAAGTAGCTTAGATGTTCAGAATTCTGCGAAAGAAAAATGGAAAATTATTTAGGTTTCTATTTGTAAATTAACGGATAAACTGTTTTTCGCTATTTTAAGGCTCGACCAACTGAAGTCAGAATCGACCTCGAATAACGAGCAGCAAAACGAAACGATTCGTCACTTGGCACAACAGAATGAAACCATCTCTATTACATTCAAGGTAAATAAATGTAGTAACCCTCTTGCACAAAGGAAAAGCAAGATGGGTTTGCTGTGTGCATCAGTTTTCTCCGGGATGGAACAGATTCAGTTGAGTAAATGTAACATTTTAATGGATAAAACTCAAACAAAGAGTCTTATTCTCAAAAGACTGACACGTGGTCCTAAATGGGCAAAACGGCATTACGCCCAAGTGGATTTGGTCCATTCACAACTTTTACCCCTACTTTGGCAATTTTGGCCAAATGACGACACGAAAAAGCTAAAACATTACTTTACTATGAGCAAAATAACAAAGTACCCAACACAGCCTTCTCTTACACATAGTTTAATTATTCATCACACAGGATAAGATCATTGCGATACAGGAAGACCATAAAAAGGAAATAGAGAGGTTACTGAACAAGCTAGCCGATACAGAGGCGCGTCTAGACAGCGTCACGAGGGAGCTAGCGTCGTCAGCTTCGCCAGGATCTCGTTCTCCTCCTCATACTCTGAACTTGGCGCTGACAAAGAGCCTGGAAGAAAGACAGTCTGGAGAGGTTCAAGTGTGCTGCTTTTTTAACCTATTTAGAAAAATTATCTTCGATGCGAGGCTAACAGGGAACTACGAAAGAAATTAACTACAATCTTTCTCGATGGAATCTGTGCCATTTCGTTTTTATTTTCCTGTTACCCTCGCATCGTATCACTTTCTTAGTAACTTAGGGGTTCAGAGTGCTTTTCTTTTCCTCATAAGACAGTTAATACTTTTACGCATCTTCCCATTTCTTCTACATGGCATCAGTACGTAAGGCTCATGTGAAACGTAGAACTTCACTTGAACAGCCTGTTGGGCTCGTGAAGTTTGACGTTTGGCCTGAGCTTTTCATACATGAGCACTTTCCGGCTCATATATTCAAGGGAGGTCAAAGTAGCCATTCCGACGTTGAGGGATAAAAACTGGGTCGAGTTGGCATTGCAGTGGATTGTGGGGCTATTTTAGCGAACATATTTCCAAGATGGCGCCTATTTCGTCTCCTAAAACAGACCCAAAATGCACTACTCTAAATTGGAATGGCTTGAATGAATTTTGATGGGGGAGGGGTGGTACATCTTTCTCTTCCATGTGATCTCATAGGCCTTGTGTTGTACCCGGTTATTGATAATATGTGTCTATTCATTAGGGCATGGACCACACGGAACTAGAAGTTATTGATGCTCAGTCACAGGTGAATATTGATACCATAGCAACCTTAAGGTAGCGCATAACGTTAACATGATTTAATCCCTGGTTTGTTTGGTTTTGTAGTCTGGTTCAATGCCTTCGTCACCAATTGTCCCTACTGCTGCTACAGTGTTGGAGAAAGTACTCTCTCCTACCTTATCTTCTGCCGGCGAATGTAAGTATACACCTAATTCAAAAAACGTTGTCATCGCCAAAGGCCATAGGCAATAGGCGAAAAGCGATAGGAGATAGCTCATTCTAAGATCCAAGAATACCTGGAATGACTTGTGTTTCTGCTTCTTATTCTTGTCAAGAACATGGACCTTAGTGTCGAGACTGATGCAATGTTGTTGGTATTCAACGAAACCATTTCCATGTCGGAATGACCTATCGCCTTTGGCGATGACGTTTTTTCTTTCATGCACGAAAGGCTCATTGGCATTCAAACATATTTTCTTGTACTCTAGGGCCTCAACCATGGACCCTTTCTGATATAGCAAACACGGTGCATTGTGGACTAGCTTGGGTATAAAGTTATTTTGTTTATCATGCCTTATGTGATATTGTTTTTACCTAAACTAGACCACAATGCACCATGTTTACGAACCCAGAAAAGACGTCCTTCACTCCAATAATTTGATAACAAAACCTTACAGTAACTTCTGTAGTTTCTTGAGCATACGGGCCATTTCTAAGTTGTTTAGGGCCGATAGATACTCTCAAGCGATCAGTATTCAATATTTGTTTGTTTGTTTGTTTGCAGTCCCCATCAGTTTAGCATCGCCATCAGAAGAAAATGCAGCACTGAAGACGCAACTAGCAGAAGCTAATCGTCAGCTGGAACATCTAACAGGGGTAAGCGCACAAATGGTACAGGATTATTTTTTGTTTAGTTTGTTCGACAGGGGCTTCAAAATGTCCTGTTCTTTATGCCTCCATCGAAGTCGACCGTTAATAGAGATTTTGAAGCAAGTGGAAGCTGAGGCACAAAGGAACTTCATACGACTGGTGTCCATGCAATACATAGTCCCTTTCCTAGTTTTTTTCAGTTGCGTTACTTCAAAAGTTTGTCACGCATTCACCGTAACACGTATCAGTTTTCTTGGCTGATTAATCTTCTTTTTTTAGGTTTTACGTGACAATGAAGCAAACTCGATGAGACTCACAGAACAGACTAAAGTCTTAAAGGATGAAATAAGAAGGTATTTTAGACCTGATTAACCTAAAACTGTTCCCTGTTAAAGCTTTTTCTCTCTTCTTCTCTCCCAGAAAAGGGGAAGGATGACTTTSCTAGTAAGGAGCTTGCGCAACTTTACATTTTCATCTTAATTTGTCTTAGGCTGGAAAGAAATCACGAAAGAGACAGAGAAGCAGCGAATCTCGAGTATTTAAAGAATGTTATACTCAAGGTAAATTGACTATTGAGTATAGATTCTGTGAAGGTATTAAGGATTCTCGCGCTTCACGTCGCAGAGCTTATCAGTGTTGCCCGTAGTACAGTTCTGCGCGCAAATTTCGTTTTGCACAAAGTAGAACCCATTTCTACTCTTCGCATTACCGCACCTCGATTACGTAATCAGGCTAAGCATTTCGTTTTAGTCTTCTGAAACAAAGTATCAACTTACTCAGCCGATCCCCTCATGCTTCAAACCTGAACAGAGTACGCGCGCGTCGGGAAAAACATTTCGAGCGAGCCGCAAAAAGCTACGAGTCGTGCTACTCCGAACACTTATGTCGTGTTCTGCCACTCCCCGCGTGCTTTAAAACCGTACAGAGGACACGCGCGTTTTTTGATTCTTTATTTTTTGGTCGCGGTAATTAAAAGCGTGTTTTCTGCCAGTGTTTTCCGGATTTACTATGGCTTGATAATAGTAACCTACGTTCCTTTCACATACAGTTTATACAGTGCGCACCAAATGAAAGAGAACAACTCGTCCCCGTTCTCAATCAGATGCTCAAACTAAGTCAAGAGGAAAAACAGAAAGTAACCAATTTTGCCAAAGGTAACAATACCTTTCTTTTTTCTCTTTTAAAATACTGACGTTGCGTCTTTTATACATTGTTGCGCATCGTCTTGTGTGGTCGCCTTTGCTTGACATTTTCCTTGGAGTTAATTCATCATTAATTTTGTTTTAAGGGGAGAATAACGACGATATACAGCAAGAAGGAGTGTCAGGCTGGTCAAGTTATTTATATCGATGGACTGCGTTTAACTAGAAAAAAAGCCCTTCATGTGTTTTGGGAAACCCTTGTAGGTGGTGAAGTCGAGAACACTTTTAAGTGTGGACTCCAGGGGAGGGCCAAAACCTGTGAAGTGTTTATACAAGCTAAAGAAAACCTTTCAGGTGTTTTGTCCGAGGCGAGAAGACGAGCTGCGTGAAATGGGTGACAAACTTGAGGATTAGTGGCAATTTCCAGAAAGAAGTCCTGATGACAGAAATGTCAAGGAAACCTCTAAAGTGTTAATAAACACAAAGGTTTATAACAGGAAGGCGTCCCGTAAACTTGACACGATTGGCATCCATCAACAGCAAGGAAAACCTTTTAAGTGCAAACGGTTTAATCGAAAAGAAACTTTTACGATGTTTGTGACAAGTTTGATAAACCTTTCAAGTGTTGGTGTCAAGACTTTACATTCAAGAAAAGGTTTGCCACTGTTATAAAAATATTCGGGAAACATTTTCACTACCTATGAGAAGGATTAAAAGACACCTGGAATTCGAATTATTATCACCGACAGAATATTACTTTTAGACTACAAGTGAACTTTCCTCAACGACGCCAAATATCTTATTTCAGTTCAGTGATAATTCAAAGGGAGGGTTGGGTGGGGAAAAAAATACTCCAATTGGTTATATTGATGGGAGGGGAGGGTCAATTTCTGTTACCATGCAAGATGTACTCAATGAGAATTGCTTTTAAAAGCGGTAGATTTTGCTCAACATTTCGTTCTTAACTAAAAATATAGATACGTTGAAGAAGCCCCAAGCTAGTATATTGATAACATTTTGATCTATTCATAACTACTCCAAAGTAGACACAAGACTGACACCGATAAACACTAAATCGAGGCTAGTCTTTGGAATGTTCCACTCTTTTTCTCAACCAGACCAACGGGCCTCGTTTTCGTGTTTACCAATACCAGTCAACCCCAATACTCCAGAAATACGAATAGAGAATATAGAACCATTGTGTTAATCTGGGACAACTTCATATAATAACGAATCATAAATAAATTCCTAAATGCATGAATATAACGTGCCAAAAAAGAAAGCAAATCAAATGTCTAATCTATTTATAATGTTACTATTTATTTAAGGAAAAAACTTGGATCATAAATGAATAATAAAGAGTTATTTTAGAATCGTAGAATATGTTGATTTCCACGAGTTAGAAGAAAAAAGGGGGGACGTTTGAGGTGCATTATGGGATATTCCGAGTGTCGTACTTTGCCAACAGTGCCGAGAGCAAATACGATGTTTACAATAGAAATAATCGCTGTAATGAAATGTACATGGGTCCTTTATCTCAATGAGTTGAGGAGTGCATTAGCTAGATTGTCAGAATCACATCACTGTCATCACCAAAATGTCTCGAATCCTCAAACGTTTTGAGACGGATTACAAACCCATGTCGTGTATTGTGACGTAAGGTCAACCGTAAGTCCTTGCTAATCCCATAATCCCTGATAATGACTGACAACACTTTACCGTCCGTCTTAATTGAAGGAAATTCCATGGCTTCCTAGAACTCTAAAGTAGGCGTGGTGTGGCCAGCCTAAAACCATCCCGTCACAGGAAATGACTTTGAAATAGCTTTTATGTAAACGAGGTGGTTGCTTGAAGAACGAATTCCAAGAATTGTTCATATTCCAAATTTGATAGGAAATGATATGACAACAGTGGGTATTGTAGAGTCTTTACTGAGCGCACGTCTTACTCACCCTCTCCTCCCCCCAAAAAAAGTCGAGCAAGACAATTTTGCAATTGTGGTTAGGCTTGACAGAACATACTAATTGATTGCGTCACGTACAAAAAAATCTGTGCGAGTAGTTTGGGAATAGAGCAAGCAAGTGTGGAAATGTGGTCGCAGTTCGTGGACGTGTAATGACTTGTTGAGTACCGATGCGCGTTGACAGCACGTTTAAAACTACGCCTCTGTCGGCGCCCACCCACGTAGTTTCCGTATCTTTCGCAATGTCGGTCAGTTAAAAAAAACAGTGGAATAAAATCCAATGTGGCTTGATAAAGCGTTAAATTCACTTTAATTTGAATTATTATTGATGAAACCCCGGACCGAAGTCGAGCGGCTTTATCGCGGCAAAAATAGGAAGAAAAAAAAATTTTTTTTTTGAAAGTCACTGGGTGTGCTTGATCAGCAAGTAGAGTGTCTGAGGCGTTTGACATCTGTTACGTAACGCGTGCACTCCACGTGAATAGCTCTTTCTTCCTCAAGAGCCAGCCATTAAAACATCTTTCTAGTGAAAAGACATGCCTCGGAAAGATTTTAAGATATATATATCTATATACCCTTGAAGCCTGGGGTCTTAAACGTATCACATAGCTTATCACTCATATATGAACGAGTTTAGTTCGACTCCACTTAGAAGATTCCCCGAGGGATCGAGCGCAAACTCATTGATGTATCATAAATCACGCTGCCCTGTCAAACTATCGTCAGGCAATTTGTCACGGCTTGCCTAAGGAAGTGCGTAATGACTTACCTACCGAAAAGGCCAATATCAATGTGCGTTCACATGACCTGATTCTTTTCTACGCTTCCTGAAGTGTGGGTACGTGTTCACTGTTGGATGGCGATCTTGTCCGATCCTATCTAACTATCGGCAAACTCTCACACTTACTACCGCTATATTTGAGGTTAGCTTACCTTCTTCGTTCAAGTCTTCTACTGCGCTAATGTCAAAAATGAAAATTAGCGCACGCAATTTTTTTCTTGGCGTATTTGTTCATGAAATGAAATATGTCTTAAAACATTGAATCAAATATCGTTAAGAGATGTCGGCTGACCAAATGCCACTTTACGCACCGATGCCCCATATTGTATGCGTGTAGCCTCGAATTGTTTGTATATTATTCTCCGATCTATTTAGAAAATTCGAATAAAAAAAGAGGGAAAAAGATCGACGGTGAGATTTGTTTAAAGTTTTCATTATGAGGCTAAAAACTAATGATGTTAGCGGAATGAATTATCAGGTGTAGGCCAATACTAGAAGCGCGAAGGCAACGAGAACTTCTTGTAAACACTGCCGATACATTAGATCTATTGTATATACACTCACTTCATTTGATTGTAGTTTATCTTTGATGATTACTATCACGCATGGATTGTAGCGTAGTAATCAAGCAATCGCGTCCCGGCTAGTAGGTATCCCAGTCAACGTACAAGTCGTACGCAACGACAATCTGATTTTATTGGTCTTAGGTCTCGAAGCCTAATGAACGTATGTTAAGCATAGTAGCACCTTCTCACGCCGACAGGTTCTAACACTCGCGCAAAAAAAAAAAAAAAAAAAATTGCGCGACATAAAGCGTTCTTTCATAGGAACACAGCTTTGATGAGTAATTTAAGGCCAATATTAGCAGTGAATGAAAGAGAAGCAACAAAGTTATCAACAAATCCATGAATGAAACGCGATAACGAAAATGGTTAAGCAAGCGGGCAATCGATTTGCTAGAACGATTCTGTATTCCATTGATACGAGTTTTCAACTATGATTATTGGTCTATTTGAAGTAATGTGAATACTTGAAGAGTGCCTTTGTCGCAAGAGAACCATTACACAGAAAATGATAAATGGCTGTCTAACGCTCCGCTACCATTATTTGACCCTGGCCATGGCTGAGAGAGTTTTCAATAATTATTCAAGCCCATCCAAAACGAATATTTGTTCCTGTTGTGTTTTAATACATAGAAGTACACCGATGTATTTTACGGATGTATGAACAACCTACAGTTTCAGTTTCAAGACCAGTGTGATCTTACTGTGATGGGAAGCGAGCTTCACCTAGCGCTGTTGGGTTAAGAGCACTCATGTCGCGACCTCAAGCTAAACCGAGTACACGACGCCCGAGTACCTACAGACATCTATCAACTCAAAAATCAAACAAACCATCACACTATTCATCCATTACGTAGTTACTCTATCCCCCACCAAGCAAGAAAATGAACGTTTGGGGATATTTTGCGGTAATTAGTAACAGTAATACGAAATTTAGTTTGATATCAACGTATATCAGATTTCTTTTGCGTTCAAATTTTAGAATCTCACTTTATTGAATACTTCTCATTCAGTGTTTTTTTTTGTATTGTTTTTAAAAGCATATATTTATCTTGTGAGCGTTAGAGAATGTTTTGTAACCTCCTATCTCACTTTAAATCTTCTGAGGGGCAGAAAGGATATTTCAATTTTAACTAATATTGAGTAATAAAGATGAAAATATGAGAAATATTTATCAAGCTATTTTTCTCTATATTGTCGGTCTCTTTAAAGCTAGTACGTGGGGTTTCAACTAAAAATAGCCTTTAATAATTTACAAATTCACGATAAATAGACAAAATTAAACGATCTTTTCGGGTAAAGCTGAACTCATGAAGATTAAGTTTATCTGGTAAAACTTTACTAGTACATGATATTTTCCCGCGGAAATAAAAATAAAATGAGATCAGAAAACTAAAAAAAACATATATTTTATATATATATATATATACATATTTTTTATATATCCCGAGGTGAGTTCTATAGTTTTAATTTAGTTTTAATAATACAATTTATTAAAGAAACAAAAATGATCATAATACGACGTGAAAACGATATCAATATATTAATCTGGGATTAATAAGATTTTATAAATTTCGTGTAAAATTCACTACATTTTGACTAAACATCGAGGGTTCGAGTATAGTCGTGACGCAGATGGACTCGTGCAAGGCGATCCGCCTCTTAGGCCTGCTGAGTTCCTGAATTCGTATGATTTTGTGGTTTTCGAGCTTCTAGAAACTTATATCTATTAGTGTTGTCCCTTAGATATTTTTATGCTAAGACTTTTTTTAAAAAGAATAAAAAGCTGTAAATAGGAATATTTTAGTTTTGAACATTATGGTTATTGTCGAAACAGAGTAGCGGCAGAGGTTGGTTGGGTTTGCAATGATGTAGAACATCTGGCACAAGAACCTGTTGTGCAAGCTGATCATGGGTGGTTGCCGACTAGAAAAACCTTGAAATCGTTCCGTTTTACGAGATATATTAGTGCTGGTTGAGTACGAAATATCCCGCAGTTAATGCCTCTCGAATATTGGTTGTAATAGCCTTTTTACAGCAGCGACAACAAAGCAGGTCATTTGGGAATGAATCCGAAACCATTTTCCAGATCAAATACAAATTTCTCAAATAAAAAAGTCTTAAAATACACTCAAGGTTTTGGTAAAGAGTTACGTGAAGTGCGCGCAAGATCCAACAAGTTATCAATCTTGATTCAATTTACCAACGCGCGCAGAGACAATTTTTTGTTCCTAATTGATTTTTTCCTTTTAAAAAGCGCGCTGATAATTCTTAGTGTTTTCACTAGAAAAACCTAGACCCGAAATTTTAAGTCCATCCTAGCAATGAGGAAGAAAAACAGCTTAGAAACCGGCAAATTCGGGCGATAAGTGATGCATAATAGTGAGTTGAAAGACCACAAGAGATAAGAAACAGTACATTAGCCTCAA